CTCCAGAGAGCCATTCTGGGGGGAAGGCCGGGGGCATCTGGGCACCAGCAGAGGCAGATTTGGGCACCTGGGCAAGAAGCAGATGGAGACCAGCAGACCCCACACAGCCAGGGCTCGGCTGCCCACCCCCAGGGCTTCTCCACTCCTCCTGTGGCTGCTGAGCCCCTCCGATGGCCCACACGCCCTCAGGGATGACCTCTGACTCCCAGAGGCCTCTTCCGGGTCTCCCTCTGGGACTTTCTGGGCTGGCCTTCACAGCCAGATGGCTCTGGACTGTTGTTAACCTGACATTTATCCACTTGTATGGAATAAAGTCCTCAGCACCTCAATCCCTGCTCTGCTCTGCCCCCTGGGCTGTCCCGCAGGGCTCCTTCCCAGCCACAGGCCGGTGGCTCACCACCCTGCCTCCTCTGCAAAGGCCGTGCTGTGGGATTTAGCCACTGAGCAGGATACTTGAAACACAGCGCTGATCACACTGTATTAGGGACTTTTTTCTTATGCTGTAGTTCCTGAAATTCACTTGCCTGATTCTCTTGCATTTAGTGCCATACGAGAGTCTGCCAGTTATCCACTGTGTGGTGAAACAACCAACCCTCAACCACAGGCGGATTATGTGCTGTGTGAAAACCCCCAGCTAAGTGTTGATTACAGACCAGGAATGGAAATGGAGTCCTTTTGTAATCAAAATATGTTTCTTAAGATAAATTCTTTGATGAGAAAAAGAAAAATCAAAACTCTGAAGTCCACTGGAAATTATTTAGATGAATTAACTTCCTTTAGCTTGGGTAGTTTTCAGTTCAACTCAACAAAACTTCTTGAGTGTACGTCAGCACAGAACACTTTGCTAGTGAGGAGCCCTGAGGCCACGTTCCTGCCCTCTGGTGGTCAGAGCACAGTCAGAGCCCGTGAGTGCAGCGTGGCTCTCTTAAAAATGCCAGAGTTGGGACATCTGGGAGCTTCCTGGGTGTGCATCCCTGCGCTGAGCAGCTCAGTGCTCATCTGACTACCACCAGTTTATCCTTCACTTAAAATGAGCGTGAGATCACATGGTAGGAAAATTGGAAACGAAGTTGACCTTTAGCATGACCGCATGCTTTTCCCTGACACTCCCCACTTCCAACTTCGAATTCCCACAGCCCACTTGTGCCCTTCTCTTTCGGACACCTTTTCTGAGAAAAGGACCAGATTAAGTGTTTTATATGATTATGGAAACATTTATCTTAGGAATGCCAGGTACACATTGCTAGACCCTCTGGTCTTTGAGAACGGTGTGAGGCAGCAGCCCAAACCACATGGAAGCAGGATGTTCTGCCTCCTAGCAGCTGGCCCAGGGGACACAGGGAAGGTGTCCTGCTCTTCTTCTTTATAAAGAGGCTTCTAGGCCCCAGCTGCCTCCTGAAGGGCCAACCACTTCCCTCACAGGGGCTTTGAGTCATGAAGCATGCCAGGGTCTCCTCCAGCATCTCCCCGTCTGCTGCTTGTCACCTCCAGGGAGAGGCTGGTGGAGCCCCAGACCTGTGGCTCCAGGAATGGAGTGTTCAGGAGGGTGATGTCCAACAGCTGGCTTCCTGTCAGCGACAGGGTGGGGGAGACACATCCAAGCAGCTCTGAGGAACAGGGTTCTCTTGCACTGGCCCTTCTGGGTCTCTGTTTGAGTGGACTTTCTTTGCCCACCTCATTGACGCCAACCGTGGGCCCTCCAGCTCTCCAGGGAGCACCAGGGTGATACTGATTCCTGTGCAGGTGCAGCAAGTGGCAGCTCTGTAGGAACCACAGCGTGTCCGTCCGTCCCTTCAGGTCCTTGTCCACCACCCTCACTGTAAGCAAGTCCCTGCAGTCAATCGATCATGTTGGCTGGACCGCGTGGGGAGGGTGGACCGGGCCAGACTCTGTGTTCACCTCGGTGTCCTGCTGTGACACGAGGCGGGGAGTTACATCTGGCATCTGGGCCATCTGGCGCGGTCTGGGTTGGGCAGGTATCAGAGGCCAAAAGTCCAGTGAGCAGCGGTTCAGATGCAAAGCAGTGCGGGCAAAGCCGGGGCCCCGAGGGCTCGCCCTGTGCCTGGGTCCCCGCGCGTCCCAGGAGTTGCGCCAGCCGGAAGACCTCGGGGGCGCGGGTGGCGCCCTGCGCGGGCGTCCAGGTGGGGCGGCGCGGCTGGCGTCAGCGGGCGTCTACCTGGCTCGCAGGAAGCCGGGGAGGCGGGGCGGGGAGCGGGGCGCGCCAGCGCCTCGGAGCAGCCGCCGTCAGTCACCGCCGCCGCGCGCCAGCGAGAGCAGCCTCGGCCCCCGCGGCCCGTGGCCCGTGGCCCGCGCCCGCCGCTCGCGACCCCGGAAGGCAGCGCCCGCGGCCCAGCGGCCCCAGGCTGCCCGCGCTGCCCGCGCTGCCCGCGCTTGGCGCCCGGAGCAGCACTCCGGGCCCCGGCGGGGAGCACGGCCTCCTGGAACCCGCGGCGACCCTCGGGTTGGAGCGCGAGCACAGCACCGGTGGGTGATCCTCCCGGACGGGCGGGGCGGCCCTGGAGCCTTGGTCTCAAGCCCTCGGAGCGGGCACCGCGGAGCCCTAGGCGGACCCCAGCCCGGCTCCCCGAGGTGCGGCGGTGGGGGGAGGGGCGCGCTGTCCCCGCGGCCGGACTCCAGGTCCCTCTCCCGGCCCGGGGCGAGCGGGGCTCACCTGGGCAGCTGCGCAGGTGGCCGGGCAGGTAGCAGCTCCGAGGTCTTGGAGACTGCACGACCCTACCCCCTGATCACGACCTCTGCAGGTGGTCGCAGGTGTAGACGCCAGTTCACAGAGACGGGGACTGGAAGCCGAGGCGATTCCGGAGTGGTCTCCAGCCAGGCCTGGGGACCCCCGGGTCCCTGAAGCAGCGCTGGCCGAGGAGTGGCGGCGGGAGATAGGGGAGGAGTTTAGGGGTGGGAGGTGACAACGGTCCCAAGAGGCCTCCCTCCTTGCGGAGAAGGGGTGTAGTGGGCAGGGGAGGGGTGGGCTGGGGGTCCTTTCCAGCCAGTGTCTCTAAAGGACACACCTGTGGCCCCTGGACATCCTTGCTCTCGCCCTTCCCCCCAAGGAGAAGCAGTTTCCCTTTGAGCAATGAGGGCGGAGACTAACGCCTGGGTCCTGGCTTCCGCCTCCCGCTGGGCTGTCTCCTGCCCCTGAGCCTGGCCTGTGCTGCCCCGCAGCCCCCCCTGGGCACATCTGCAGCTGGCACCTGCTGCTCTGGTGCCGTGGTCCAGTACTCTCAGCCTTCCCTCGGCACCCTCCTGGGCTTGACAACAGGATGGCCAGGTTTCAGGTGGCCCCACATCCACCTGCTGTTCTGTGGTCATTCTCTATCACTCTGCGCCTTTCGGGATGCCTGTGGGCCTGGCAGGACCAGCGTTCTGGCTCCTACTCTTAGGCTGGGAGCAGTGCTGGTGTAGCTTGTGAACTTCCCAAGGCCGTGCGTTGGTGAAAGGGGCTGAGCAGCCCATGACTTAAGGTGGTGGGAGAGAGACATGGTTCAGGGCAGGCATCTGCCTGTTCTGACCACAGGACACCTGACTAGGAAATTTTTCCAAGGAAGGGAGCTTTGGTAGCATCCCATTTAAGACTTATGTTTGTTGCAAATTTTATCCTGCTGAGCTGAGGGAGCATTTTGCAGAAGGTTACAGATTGGTTCCCAAGATGGTTCTGTTTGAGGCTTACCCCTGCCCAGTGGCTTCCTGGCAGGTGCCTACCAGTGATGTGGGTGCCTCCCTTAAGGTTGGGGTCCTGGGGAGCAAAACTCAGCTGAGAGCCTGGGACAGAGCCACACACCTGTAGTGATGACAGAGCCCTGTAAAGGTGTCCACAGCCTAGTGGAGCAGGTGTCCACAAGCCCAGGGAATCTCACATCCTGGGGCTGAGTTTTTTAAGTGGGGGTAAGCAAAACCTGAGGCAAAGAATTCAGTTACAAATGATGGGGAATGTTGGTACCGCAACTCCCAATGATTTAACTTTTCTAAAATGATCACTGCCATTAACTTGGGGTTAAACAAAAACTCTTTGGTTCAAATTCACTTTGAAAATCTTCCTACAGTCATGTATTTCTGCCTTAAGAAGAGAAGGTGTATGGTGCTTGTTTTAGATCTGGTGTTCGTGGCTCTGCCGTGGTTTTGAAGGCCCGTGTTTCGCTTTTGTTCGTGGTGGAAACAGGTTTGTGCACAGATTAAGTATCCACAGAAGCCGAAGGAACAGGGATGCATCCTTCTGTGAATTTCCTACTTCTGCCTGAATTTTTAAGCATTCACTGAAGGTTATTTTTTTGTGAATTCTAGTTCTTTCTGGGTTCTTTTAAAACGTGTCATGCTTCAGCTTAACAGTGGCCCCTCGGCCTGTTAGAGTACCAGGTAGCATCTCCCAGTCACTGACAGCAGCCAGGAGCTTCTGAGAGCTGTTTGTCATTTCATTTAATTGTCATAATTGCCCTCCAAGGCTCTCATCTGAGGTCACCACTCTATTAATAGCCTGGTCCTGACTGACCCGGGGGTGAAGTCCGTTGCCTTAGGGGCACTCAGCTGACAAGAGACAGCATTCAGTCCAGGGAGACTTCCACAGCTCCAGGGCTGCCCTGCCTGGCCTCAGTGAGAGGACACCTTGCAAGGTCCACTGCGTTTCTCTTTTACAAATTCCACCCTGAGACGTGACCACATCCAATAGAACATGCTTCCTTTTCAGAGCGTCTTGACCATGAGGGAATTGTCATCTGTCCCTGTGTCATCCCTCCTTAGCTACCTTTGTTGTCAAGAAAAAAGGGAAAAAAGTATTCCAACAACAGTGCAATTTTAAATAAGCAGCAAGACACCTCTGTTGACCCATTAATGCACTGAAGGGGGCGGGCACTTGTGAGATGGAAGAGGCAACCATACAGGGAGCCCGATGCCCCAGAGCAGAGATGGCATGCGGGCAGCTGGGACGTTTTGCTGGGCAGATTTAACTGTCAAAACCTCTAGTAGGAAGACTTCAGCCAGAAAACCAGAACCAGTGGATCTTTATTCCCCGTTTATTGCAGTGGAGCGGCCGCTGCTGTGGAGGGCCATGGGCAGGCCCACAGTCTGCAGGACAGCAAGGGTGGCTGCAGAGGAGGCTGCTGTCCACAGGCAGGACCTCCTGCCATGGCCACAGTGATGACTGGGGATGCAGGGTCCACAGCTGGCATGGCGCTGGACTCGGCGATGGTGAAACTAGGAAGCTGTGGTTCTGAAAGTGGCTTCGTCCTGGGCTCCCTGAGCAGCACCAAGTAGCTCTGAGGCACCCTTATAAAAACAGGCAGGAGTCTAAAGACAGGCCAAGGCGAGAGTGTCTGAATATACAAAACTTTCAGAAAGTCAGTAATGTACAACAGGCTGCCCCAGAGTAAATGTGTAGCTGAACAGTTTCTGTGGTTCAGGAAAGAAAGCCCAATGGACTAATATAGTACCTAACGAACTTCAACCCGTCCACACTCAGAGAAGTAAAAATCAGAACAGCTTGCCAGGGGGAATGAGGTTGACCAAATCCTGATATGTGCAGGCACAAAAACAGCGCAGACCCAGTACTAGGTGTGACAATAATGCACCAATAAAGACTAAAAAAAAAACAAAGCAGCATGCCAGGTGCTGTGGTGCACACCTGTAATCCCAGGTACTCGGCAGACAGGAGGAGTCCCAAGTTCAAGGCCAGCCTGAGCAACCAAGCAAGACTCTTGCCTCAAAATAACATACATGGGGCTCGGTGGTAGAGTGCTTGTGTAGCATGGGTGAGGTACCGGGTTCAATTTCTGGTTCTAAAAAAATAAATAAAACAGCAATCTGATACTTTTTCACGAGTGTCGTACTGACGAGAAGTTTACGTTCTGTCTGTGCCACGCACTGGAGGAGAGGCAGTGAAGAGCTGCACCATGGGTGGGAGGGGAAGCAGGACAAATGCTCCGAGGAGCAGCCTGGACAGGCTGGGCAGGGCCCTTCCCCAGTCCTAGCAGCTTCCCTCCTGAGTGCGCCTACCCCCTGGGCAGCACCTGGTCTGCAGCAGGGGAGCGCATCGTGGAAGCCACGTGAGAGCTGTGTCCAGGGAGCTGCAGATGCACATGCGGCTGCAAGAAGGAGGTCAGAGACTCCGTCCTCCTCCTGCCCTCCCCAGAGCACATCGCCTCGCGGCTGGAGACGTGCGTGTGGTTCTGTGTCTCTTGGCCGTCAGCAGAGTCTGACAGCCAACACAAGCAAGGTCGGCCACGTGCCTGTGCAGAGAGCCCCCTGTACCCTCCCAGCCTCGCCGATCCCTCCACTCTCCTCCCTAAGCGTCATCCTCTGGAAAATGCTGGAAATACGCAGGCCCTCTGGAGGTTGGCTTCTCCCTCCCAGGTGCCCTGGCCACTCACCAGCTGCTGAGTGCGGCTGAAGCTCAGGCTGTTCCTTCTCACTGCCCCGCAGTGCTCCCCGATGGAAGGCCACGTTTGTTCGACCTTCTCCCTTTGAAGGGCACTGTCTCCAGCTTTGGTTCCTGCACATGAGCCGCTATGAGCGTTTGTGACAGTTTTTGTGACAGTGTGGTTTTCACTTCTTGGAGATAGTTGCCCAAGAGGGCCATTGCCGCTCCACATGATAGCACGGGTGTGACTTCTTAAGAAACCGCTGGCGCTTTCCTGAGTGGCTGTATGTCCCACCGGAGGTCCTGAGTGACCCTATCTCTACGGCCATCCCCCTTTGGTGTTCCCTCTGCACTGCAGGGTGTCAGGTGCTCTGGGGGGGGCGCGTGTCCCCAGGGCTGGGGTGCAGGGCCATCTCCTGCATCACTGCCTTAGTCCTCGTCAGTGAGGACCGCTGCTCTCTTTTGCCTGTTTTCTCATTGGACCGTGGCTTTTCGACGGCTGGCCCTGGCTTGGGTCTGCATGTCTTCTGGTCACCAGCCTGGCGGCTGCAGTCTCGTCCCACCACTTCAGTTTCTCTCCACCCTCTCCAGCAGCGGGCCTTCTGCACAGAAGAGGATTTTCATTTTGATGTGTTTCTCTTTATTAATTTCTCTTTTGTGGACTGTGATTGACATGGAGTCTCGGAATGCCTCACCTAGTTTCAGGCCCGGAACATTTCTTCTGCCTCCCCCCCCCCCCCCACATAGGATCACGTAAGCCTGTGATCCATTTGGGGTAAATTTTTGTTTCACACATGAAGTTTAGATTGAGGTTTGGCTTGTCTTGTGTTTCTCTCCCGGCCAGTGAATGTCCAGTGGCTAGGGGACTGCTTGATGGAGAGATCCTTGCCCCTCTGGATTCCTTCTGCACCATTCCAAGGGTCTCCTGGGTTGTCCATTCATTCCATTGAGCTACATGTCCATCCCTCTGCCTGCACCACAGAATCTCGAGGCAGAATCAGGCAGAGGGAATAGCAGGGAAGCAGTGTTTGGGCTTGATTTTTATCACAGACCAATGCTGAACCTAACATTATTAGCACAGGAATTCAGTGTTGTCCTGTGCTGTGTGTCCTCACGGTGTGGGTGCTACAGGGCTTCAGTGAGGGGCAGCACGGTGACACTGTTGGGCACATCCCCACCTTCTGGAGTGTCAGCTGACGGTGTCTCCTCCAGAGCTGGGAAGGGTCAGAGTCCCAGGACAGCTTCTCCAGCAAACAGCATGCAGATGCATGGGGTCCTCCAGGGAGACGCCAGCCCACACCCAGGGAGCACCTCCCATGAGCTCTGCCTGTTTCCACCTGGCATCTGATCAGAAAACCCCAAACACAAGAGGTCAACACAGGCACAGAACGTGCATGCCTGGGCCAGTTCAGGGGCCTAACAGGGGGCGGACTGGCTTGGTAGCAGGATACCCAGCCCCCAGGTGAAGCTCCTGCCTGGCCGGCCGTCCCACTGGGGTGTCCAGTTCTCTCAATGGGATCAGCTGGCTCGTGCTTCTGTTGGGTGGTCTGCAGGCACCTGCACCCATCTCTCAGAATTCTCATCAAATCGGAGTCCAAAGCCCCGCCTCTGGCATACCACACCACGTCCTGGGGACTGGGCCCAGGAATATGTATGTTAGTGGGCTCCCCGTCAACTCAGAGCCTCTGACCCAAGTAGGAGTGGGTAGCGAGGGCCCGTCTGTGCGCAGGCTCACACAGTCCCCCTCCGACACGTGCTTTATGTGCTCAAGAGACCCTGTATGCTTCAGCAGTAAACTGCACATATGTGGAAAGAGTGACTCATTGATGCAAAGTTTTATATTGGCAGTATATTTTTGTCTGTATCACTTATTTTTGATCCTTTCTCCACGTTTGGAGAATAGCATTTTATTTCCTGCCCGTGGGTGCTGCTGTAACTGACGAGGAATATTTAGCTTCTCGTACTCCTCACTCAGTTTCTCGTGCAGCTGGAAGTCAGCATGTTCTCCAGACCTGCTATAGAAGCCAAAATTAGACACCTAGAGCACATGCCAGCCCCTTCCAGACAACTCCCCGCCTGTCTTTGCCTTACCGCGTACCACACTGTGCACCTCAGGGTGAGTCAAGAGAAAACAGATGCAGTTCCTACCCTCAAAGTGCTGATAGCTTAGAAGTCCACAGATACACTGTCCAGGGCAAACATTCGCAGAGTGTGCAGGACTTCTGGAGGGGGCCCGCTCTGGCAGAGAAGGCATGCCCGGCAGTGTCTGAGTGGCGATCCGTGCCCCCGGGGAGCGCTCCAGGTCTGCAGCCTGCACTCTCCCGGTGGCTCCCTGGGATCTCCCAGAGCACCTCTCTAGCCACCCTCACGGCTCTTGCTGGTCTCCGGTGCATCCCATGGACACTGTCCTTCCTGAAGCTGCCTCCTTAGCCTGTTCCCAGGCTCTCTCCCTGTGCGGTGTTGAGAAGTGCTGGCCCTCTTCTCCAGTGTTCTCTTTGTCCCCATTTTGTTAGAAGGGCTGAGAATGTCCCATAGTGCACTGATATGCTGGGGAACTGTTAAAAGTTTTTATTCACCCAAATTCCTACCGAAGCCCATTGGCCTAATATTAGTTGCAGGAATAGGTAGGTGGATTCTGCTAATTACCATTATCCAACTGACGCGTAGCAAGAGCCTGGAGTTTTCAGAAGTCGTGTGTCTGAATCTGTTCTCTGCTGATCAGAAACCCTCAAAACAATTGAGACATGATTTCCTCAGCGTAAATTGTTGCTTAAAAAATCAAGTAACTGAGGTGGGTTACTAATAAAATAAACAAAAACATCCTTGCATAGTTTAGGGTTAGGGTTCTTGCATGTGTGTGTGTGTGGAAGGTGGGACACGGGGACAGGGTGTTTGGGTCGTTTTATTCTACTTCTTTCAGATGTTTGAAAACATAGTAACCTTGGAATATCTCAAGACTCGGCTGCATTTCCTCCCTGAAGTGCAGAGAGGCGTGGTACTGTGGAGGCAGACGAAGTGCACATGCCCCTGGGTCTTGCTGCTGTGCGAGAGGCTCTGTGGCTCTGTGAGCAGATGACAAGTCTTTCCTCCTGCCACTGGGTTCTTGTGCCAACACTTGTGTGTGCTGAGAGGGATTAAAGCAGATATTAAAAGCTAGTCATTACATGAAGGGGAGGTGGGACACGGAAGGCACAGATACGGCACGTTAAAGCACACGGGAAACGTCCTGTTTCGAGGCTCTCCAGGTGACGGGGGACGTGGGCTACTGAGTGAGGAATTTAGAGAGAGGCAGTACCGGGATAAAGCGAGCTGTAGAAACTTCAAGTGAATTTTAATACAAGGGGAGGTTGAAACCTGGACAAAATGTTGTTTATTTCAAACAAAAACAAACCAAGCCGAAAGCTGCTCTCCTCGTGGTCGAATGTGACCTGGCCATCTCACCGAGTCCTGTGTTCCAAGCTCAGCCTTCGCTTGCTGCCCACCACACACGTAGAAGGATGTGAAGCTTTTACCCTGGGCTCCACCCAGAGAGCTGTGTGCCCGACCTCCTTCCCCTGAGCTACATTTCAGGACCCACCGTCCTCCATTGGGTGGTGGCTCTTCCAAATCCGAGTGTTTCCCGGTCTTCCTTTTGGGAGATCGTCCCAGCCACTTTGCCTACAGTTCTCAGTCTCTGCTGTGACGGTTTCATGGTGAATTATGTGCATTTCACAGAATGGAGCCACCTCTGATGAGTCCAGGGGAAGCACAGGACATGAGAAGTGCAAATGCTGTAGGTGACCTCCCGAGCCGCAGAGCCATCTGCCCGCCTGGAACACACTCAGGAGGCCTCCAGGAGCCTGCCGCCGGGAGAGGCCTCCGCCACAGCCTGTCCCGACCTAAGGAGGGGCATCTCGTGTCACCTAGGGGCCTCTGCTTCGATTGAACACAGTGGTTGTGTGACTCGCACACCAGCAGAAAACCACGAATCATACCAGAACCACCAGAGGTCAGGGACCACCTGTGTGACAGGGAGACTCGGAGATGCAGAAGGTGGTGATGGGCGGAGAAGAAGGGCAGGAGAGCCACCCTGCCCTCCTCCCAGCCGGTACACCTGCACCTCGCCCCACGTGGCAGCCCCAACCACAGCCGGAACCCGCCATGCCCCTGTGCAGCTGTGCAGCTGGAGGTCACCTGGCACCGCTGGTCACAGCAGCACCAGAGGCTGTGTGCAGTGACCTGTTCCGGAGGTTCCTATTTCAGCAGCACTGGGACAGAGCTTTCAGGAGAGTGTTCTATTCCCAGCATGAGGACTTTGGAAAAAGGATCTGATTCATAGAAGACGCCTCCCCCGGAGCTGTCGGATGTTTCAACATATTTAACCAAGACTTGTCATGGTGATGGTGTGCTGGGTGCAGTCATCTTGTCTGATCGAGGCCGCCCTCACCTTCCGATGGGCAGCGTCTGCTCTGGAGATGCCGGGAGCCAGGCGGCTGCCAGCAGGACCTCTGTGCCATGGCCACGGGCAGTGCCCCGTGCTCTGGGGGTGCTGGCTCCGCTCCCTCCTCGCTCCAGCACTCTGCCTCCCTGGGGCCTGGGGCGCTCAGCCTGGTGCTCCGGGAAGGAGGCGTGTGGTCTGCAGACCAGCCAGGCTCCTCAGACATCCTGCCCAGCTCCCCTCTGTGCCCAGCCCTGCTCCTCGGGAGGGGCTCATGGTAACAGCGGTGTGCCAGGCACAGCATCTGAGGCAGGTCCCTCCCTGGCAGGCCTCCTCCTGCCCTGGAGTGTCCCCGGCTTGCCTGGCTGCGGAGCACACAGTGGGCCTCGCACAGCCCTCGTCAAAGGCCATGCCACAAGCCCATGAGCAGTCTGATGGCCTCAAACTCATGTGCAGGGGCTGCTGTGTGCTGGGCACACCTGGTCAGGGCACCAGGGTGGCTCTAGGGCTCTGCCTGTGCGTCCCTCATTCTCTGCACCGTTCTTACTGAGCATCTGCCCATTGCTGGCCCCAGGACTTGGATTCGTAGACACACCACGTTCCTTAACAAGTGTAACTAGGGAGTCCACACCTGTCCTTGCAGTGATCACAGCAGATGCTGGGGGCTGAGCCTCCTGAACCAGGCCCCCATTCCTGGAAGTAAAGTCAGGTAGGCTCAGAGAGCAGTGGGCCTGGGGAGGGGCCTGCAACAGGATCCAGGCTCCTGCTCCCATCCATTTCTTCCCATTCTGTCGCACTCTGGCCCTTTCAAGTTGGCTTTGCATTATCTGGATGTCACCCTCTGTGTTTGGA